TCCTTTTTGCTTTCTTTCTCTTACTTCCATTCCAATTCCATAGGGCCCAAGTTAAAACCTGAAGAAAAGGGCTTCCCTGGTGGTGTAGTGGTTAAGAATCTGCCTGCCAGTGCAGGGGACAAGGGTTCGAGACCTGGTCCGGGAAGATCCCCCAAGCTGTGGAGCCACTAAGCTCGTGCGCCATGACTACTGAGCCGGCACTTGAGAGCCCGCGAGCCATAACTACTGAGCCCGTGCACCTAGAGGCCATACTCCGCAACAAGAGAAGCCACTGCAATGAGAAGCCTGCGCACCACAACGAAAAGACTAGCCCCTGCTCGCCACAGCTAGAGAAAGCCCGTGCGCAGCAACGAAGACCCAATGCAGCCAAAATAAGTAAAAAAAAAAAAAAAAAAAAAAAGACCTGAAGAAAAGAATTGCTATATGACATTATTCAGGAAGAGGAGGCGAATAGTTTTTAAAACATCTGGTCCTCATCTTATTTAAAGCATGAAAATGAGAATTGGAATCTTGTAGCTCTAGTATTGATTTGGCAGCTAAGAGAAGAATGGCGCCCCAGAAGGAAGTCTAGTCAATGAGGGGAAGGAACTTTGCACTGGCAGGGACAGTAGCATTAAACTAACATGGGGAGTAAAGTGCGCAGGGAAGAGGATTGGTAGGAAAAAGATGAAAGTGCTCTGAGAAAGTTAAGGATCATCATCCTCCCCATCATCATCATCATCATCATAATTCTGACAAGTAGAAATAAATCAAAAGCTACAGAAAAAAATGAGATGGAAAAGGAAATAGTTGAGATTCTTTTGTGAAATTGAAGGAACTTGTAGCATCTGACTTGCTGCTTTAAAATATTTCACACAAGTTTTTTTGTTGTTGTGGATCAAGGAAGGGGGAGAAGAGGCACTAGAACCATCAAGCTACAACTAGTTTCTCTTGAAAAAGAGCAGAAGGTAAGGGAGGGGATATATGCATATGTATGGCTGATTCATTCTTCAGTGCAGTAGAAGCTAACACAATATTGTAAAGCAACTATACTCCAATAAAAATTAAATTTAAAAGAGAATTGATTAATTTAAAATTAATTAATTTAAACTAATTTTAAAAAATTCAAATAACAACAATAACAAAAAAGAAACCAACTACTGATACGCACAACAACTGGGATGGATCTTAAGGGCATTATACAGAAAGAAAAAAGCCAATTTCAAAGGTCACATATGTATAATTCCATTTATATAACATTCTTGAAATACGATTATAAAGATGGAAACAGTGGTTTCAAGGGCATAGAGATGGGGAGTGAGGATATGGAATGATGGGTATGACTCTAAAAGGGTAGCACCGGGGATATCTTTGTGATGATGTAATCATTCTGTATCTTGATTTTGGTGGTGGTTACACAAATCTACACATGTGGTAAAATGCCACAGAAGTATATACACATATTGTGCCAATGTCAGTTTCTGAATAAGGGCAGGTACGTCTAAAGAACTATCTAGACCACCTGGAATGCAACACAGAACAACAGAAAGTAGAAAATATGAAAAAGAGATTACAAAACATGGAGGACAGAGTGAGGAGATTTAATATTATCTAATTAGTGTTACAGAAGGAGAAATGGGGGAGAGGCAAAACTAGAAGAGATCATATCTGGGCAGTCTCCTGGTGGTCTAATGGTTAGGATTTGGTACTTTCATTGCCGTGGCCCGGGTTCAATCCCTGGTCGGAGAACTGAGATCCTGCAAGCCATGCAATGTGGCCAAAATAAAATAATAAAAAATTTTTTTTTAAAAAGAGGAAAGAGCAGAAGGTATAAACGAAAACACAAGCCTGTTGGTACGCTCAATAAACATTTATTTGACTTTTCTTCCCCATACTTCATAAAAATAAAATGAATTTATATTGAATGTTTGCACTTTACCCTTTTTTGCTTCCATGTTCTTCATAATTAATATTAGTAGGTCATTATCAATAGATCAGTAAATGGAGACAAGAAGAAAGCATTTGCTTCAAACCATTTATCAAGTCAGAGGGCAGAGCTGGTCTTCAAATTTATAACCTCTAAATTCTTGGTTTCTATTATTACCAGACATCTGTAACTACTGAAAAAGAAGTTCTAGACCACCTAGTACCAGCTAGTTTGCATCTTCTATCTGTGCTGTTTAATGGAAGATGAGACAGTAGGTAGTGCTCCCGTACCCCCAGTCGTTTGGAATTTTAACGTGCACACAGGCACACACTCTCACTGTGGCCTTGCTTAGCACCTGCTGGAAACCAGGATGGTAAGGTAGGAGGCCATGCAAAACCAGTTTAATAGCTATTTACTAACTGATACTTAAACTGACTTTTCAACGCTGATGAAGACCATCAGTATGTGGGGATTACAATATTCATTACCTCACCGTGATTATTTTTTCTAAGGCCTGTATTCTCTGTGATCATTCAATTTTGTTTCTCAGATAAAGAACCATTATCGTTTGTTTCAGTGCTTTTTGTTTTATGTTATACAGTCAATTTTACCGATAATTTCCAAACATCCTTAAGTAGGCCTGCAAAAATGTCAGTTAGTGTGTGCCTTCCCATCTGCCTCAGATCTATGTAAATGTACCCTGCTTAGTTTCACTTGAGTTCAAACCTGTACCTTTGAGGCCAAGACCTTAGGAATTCAAGGGCAAAGTGAACTTTAATCTGGTACATTTCGTACTTTGATGAATAGTGAAAAAAAAAATCCTCAAAGCTTGATTGGTTCTAGTCACATTTGCCTGACACTATTTCTCGAACCATTGTACATAAAGTCACCAGCACAAAAGATCCTTCACTAAAAAAACATATACCAGGGGAAAGCAAATCAAAAGAACAGGGGAGAGGATAATGTGTTTGATTTCTCAAAAGTCTATTTACTGTCCAATTGATTTTGGCCCTTAGGCCTTTGGATGTGCTAGCAAGTAATTATTTTTATGGTTGATAAAATGAGTACTGAATATTTATCATTAATTGCAATTTGAAATCACTTAAAAAAAAATCTGTCATTTTGGTTTCTAAAAATTGTTTCTTCTGGCTAGACACGAGCCAAGTGCCGAGAGCTGACCAGATGCCAAGTCTCAGGACTGTCCAGTCTTCCACATCAGACCTTCAGCCGGGCCTTCTGACTCTTCTTGAGGTTAGAAAATCTATCCCCCAGTCTCGCAGATGCTGTTCTCCCCCAACTGGCTCTACAGAGAACATCATTATCTTTGCTGAGCTTCTGTCTCTATGGCAATAACAGATGGGAAGTGCTGCGGAATTATTCATGTTCTGGAAAGGAGGCAGTCAAGGAGGGGAAGATGGGGGGTGGGAGAAGGGGGCACGACCCGGGAGCACGGCGATCGTGGTGTAAAGAACGGAACGTGTGTGTGGAGCGAAAGAGAGGCTCGTGAGCCTTTAGTAGGCCCGTTGGGAGGAAAAGAGGGAAAAAAATCTATGAGCACAGGGGTATTCCCAGTTGGCTGGCTCCAAATGTGGACCCCATACGAGTGACCTCGAAGCAGTAAAACCAGGAGAAATGGGGCGAAAACTGGCAAAAAGAAAAAAAAAAGGAGGGGGACGAAGCTCGAGTCTTCTGAATTTGGTGCACTGAGACCTGGGGGTCAGTCTCCTGATTTTGCGGTGGGGCGGGAAAAAGGGTTTTTTCTTGGTGTTTCGAAATATGACGGAGCAGCTCGGCAGAGTTCAATATGCTAACTAGCCACCCCGGAACACAGACCAGGGAGACCACTGTCCAGCCCCGAGGGTCACAGCCGAAAGCTCTTCAGTCGTCTCTTTCCTCGTCTCATCTCCTGATCGCTTCCAAAACAAAACCCCAAAGCCCTCAGGAAACACTGCAGAAACATGTAATTTCTAGCTCCCTTTTAGAACCGAGAGAGCAGTCTGGTGAGGGGGTGGGAGGAGGGAGTCCGAGAAGCAGAGACAAAAATGTTTTCTCTCTGTTTTGCCGGAACTTCGGCCAGCCCTCCGGCCCGGCCGGATGGCGGAGAAGGTCAGCCCCGGCAAGACGCCTGGGCGGAGGCCGCCCGGGCAAGGCGGGGGCCGCCGGTGTGGGGCGGAGCGCAGCGCCAGCAGCTGGCGGGGCGGCCCTCGGGCGGGGGGGCCCCGCAGGGGCGGGGGGCAGCCCCAGCGCGCAGGGCCCACACTGTGGGGGGTGCGAAACTGGGAGGCCGCCGCTCGGCTGCCTCCGGGGCGGGGCGGCCCAGCTGCGCCCCGCGGGGGGAGGGTCGCCCGTGCCTGACCTCGGGCGGCGGCGCTCGGCCGGGCGGGCCCTGCCTCCGCCCTGCCGGCTGCTGGGGTCGCGCACAGTGCACCGCGCGGCCGCCCTGCCCCCTCTCTCCGTGTCGTGCGGCGGCCGAGCGTCCAGGGCGCCCCCGGGTCTGGCCCGTCTCCACCGAGCAGCGGGTGGGGCGGGGGCGGGGCGGTGGCGGCCCCAGACAGCCGGCTGGGCGACTCGAGGAAGGAAGGAGGGAGGGCGGCGGTGGGGGTGGGGCGGGGAGGGAACATCCTGTCTGCGCCGGGTGCACCGCAGACAGCGCCGCGCGCCAGCCGCCCAGACGGCGCGCGGGGCTGGGAACGCCGGGCGCGCGCCTGGGGGGAGGGGCGCGCGCGCCAGGCGACGGGCCGGGGTAGCCCTCGGGAGCCACAATAGTCCATACGGCGCGCGCGTCCCCGAGGGGCTAGGAGCCGCGAGGCGGCGGCCGGCCCGCGGGCACGGTGCCGCTGCTGGCTCCGTTCCCCTCCCCCCCGTCCCTCCGCCCCTCCGCCCCTCCGCCCTCCCTCTGCCCCGGGCGGCCGGAGACGGCGGCGGCGTCTGCGGGAAGCCGTGTGTCTCCGCAGTGACGTGGGCGGGCCGAGGACTCGGTGACGTCAGAGGGCTGTGTGTAGCGATGTGTGTGGGGTTCGGAGCGGCGCCGGCACAGCCGAGGGGAGCGGGCGAGCGGCGGCGGCGGCGGCGGCGGCGGCTGGCACAGGTGCGGCCTCGGCTCGCTCGGGGGACGCGGCGGGAGGCAAGGGGCGCGCGGCCCCCGGGGCGCCCGACGGCAGCGCCGGGGGTAGTGGGGAGTTAACAAAGCTCATCGGGCTTCCTGGGGCGCGGAGGCCGGAGTCGGGGGTGCGGATGCGCGGGTCACGGGTGGGGTCGGAGCCCCGGGGCGTGGGGGCGCGGGGCGGGTGTCTCACGGCGTATCTTGTCTCGCTGATGCCGGGCGGTGGGCAGGGGCAGGGCGCTGCACTTGACCGGAGCCGTCGGGACCCCGGAGACCTGGGCGCCAGTCCCCGCCCCCCCGCCGCCTGTCTGTGCTGCGCGGGGATGCCCCGGGCTCGACCCGGTTGGTCGGCGCCCAGCGGCTGGGGGATCCCGGCTGGGCTCCCCACCCGCCCCTCTCTCTTCTGGTCCCGGGCGGGCGAGGGAGGTGCAGCCTTAGGGGTGCTGAGGTAACACCCGAGAACTTCCCGGGGAGAGGGTGCACGGGGGATTTCCAGTCTTCTCAGCGGCCCACTCAGCGGGGTGGTGTGGGGAGGGCCCTGGGGGTGTTCCGAGACCGCGGTGGGGTGCTCCTTTTCCTCCACTTCCCACGACCCCCTGGCACGCCCCGAGGCGTCCCGGGTCCCTTCCTCCCCACCGCCCCGCCGCCTCCTCGGGTTTGAGATGGGTGGGTGGCTTTGCGTGGGCCGAGGATTTCAGGGTTTGGGGGCTCCCCCATTCTAGGTCTCGCCTCCTCCCCTCTTCCTTGGCCAGCGTTGGCTGAGGTGTTCCTGTGGTGGGCGAAATCAGTACGTTGGCTAGTGGCCTTGGTCCTTAACCCTTTGGGTCTGTTTTAAGGTAAATTCCTCGCAGTTTGGGAGGCAAAAATTTCTATTTATTGGGATTCCTTTTGGAATTTCTCTCAAGAAGGAAGTGGAAGAAGAATCTTTTCTTTTTTTCCCTCTTCCTCCATTTGCATTCTTTGTGAGGTCTGTCTGCCTTGTGCTTTTTGTCCCGGATTAGTCTTGTTCAAGGATGGAGATTCCCAGGAGTGGAGTCTGTAGCTTTTGGCTTCCATTAAGCAAATTCTCTAACCCTTTAAAGGGAAAGTTAATTTTTGCTTACAGTCATTCCAGAAAAATAGCCTACGCTGACTAGATGGATTATGCACTTAAGATTGTAACTTACATATGGTAGGTATGTTAACTAGTATCTGATTTTTTTGGATGAAACTGGTGGGTTTTTTTTTTTTTAATTGAGAGATGAAGTAATAGGTGATTTTAGCTAAAATGGCATAACTGAGAAAACCTTTAGTACTGAGTTTTGGGTGAGATGATCTCTTTAAGGTTCTTCCTGTTCTGAGTAGGAGTAACCCTCTCCCTTTTGAGGGATATTATTGCAACCTTTACCCATTCTCCGAATTGCTTTCCTATTTAAATGAAGGTACTTCTAGTTAACTGGTATTAGATTTAAAGGAATCACTCAAGTGTCACCTTTGGTAAAGTGAACTCAGTTTAAGATTAAGAAACTATTTTCAAACTGACCCTTCGGGCTCTGGAGCAAATTCAAATGTAACTCTCCCCTAACCCCCTTCTCTTCCAGATTAATTAAAAGAAGAATGAACAGTAATCCTGAAGATAACTGGGCAGTTTTTCTTTAGGTTTCATTTTTAATTGTAGAAGTTCAAGTGGAGTCAGAGACTCTTCTTAACTGGTGTGAGGATTTATACAAGCCTTCATTTTGTCCACACAGACCAACAGATCATCATTTTTAGAGAAGATACTTTTTTTCCTCCTTTTTTGGTGTCCTTGGTGCCAAATACTAAATTTGGGTGCATAATTTTGACTCAAGTAATTGCATAAACTTTTTGCGTGTTGTGCTTAAAACCAAACCAAACTATTGCGTTGAACTTGGACATCTTGAATTGAGAGAACTGGTAACTTTATTTTAATACGTATATCTGAAGAACTTAGGAAAACAAAGGCTTCCTTGGAAGTGTGCCTCTTAAAATTATTTTCTGTGTTATTAGACAATAAGAAATTTTATAGCACTTGAAGTGAAATTATACTTGGAGTATAAGCAGAACCAAAACAAAGTTGCAAAATCTATTGAGTAGTTTAGGGAGATCTCTTTGGAAATTTAAATTTTCTGTTTGAATAAGTTACCATAAGTATTGGTATACATTGTGTTTCTCTCTTCAAATAAGCAACTAGTTAACAATGCAAATCTCAGACTTACTTATTTAACACAATAGTTTTTAGCAATGGAAAACCTACAGACAAATTTTTCCTTGGTTCAGGGCTCAAATAAAAAACTGAACGGGATGGGAGATGATGGCAGCCCTCCAGTGAAAAAAATGATGACAGACATTCATGCAAATGGAAAAATGATGGTAAACAAGATGCCAACTGTAAAGAAGGAACACTTGGACGACTATGAAGCGCCAATGGAAACTGATGAAGAGCATGTCAAGAGAACCTGTGCCTCTGTGCCTGAACCTTTACATTTAAATCCCAGTTTGAAACACACTTTGGCACAATTCCATTTAAGTAGCCAGAGCTCTCTGGGTGGACCAGCAGCATTTTCCGCTCGGTATTCCCAAGAAAGCATGTCACCTACTGTGTTTCTGCCTCTTCCATCTCCTCAAGTTCTTCCTGGTCCACTGCTCATCCCTTCTGATAGCTCGACAGAACTCACCCAGACTGTGTTGGAAGGGGAGTCTATTTCTTGTTTTCAGGTTGGAGGAGAAAAGAGACTCTGTTTGCCCCAAGTCCTAAATTCTGTTCTCAGAGAATTTTCACTCCAACAGATAAATACAGTATGTGATGAATTGTACATCTATTGTTCAAGGTGTACATCAGACCAGCTTCATATCTTAAAGGTCCTGGGAATACTTCCATTCAATGCCCCGTCCTGTGGGCTGATCACATTAACTGATGCACAAAGACTGTGTAATGCTTTATTGCGGCCACGCACTTTTCCTCAAAATGGTAGTATACTTCCTGCTAAGAACTCATTGGCCCAGTTGAAGGAAACTGGCAGTGCCTTTGAAGTGGAACATGAATGCTTAGGCAAATGTCAGGGTTTATTTGCACCCCAATTTTATGTTCAGCCAGATGCCCCGTGTATTCAGTGTCTGGAGTGCTGTGGAATGTTTGCGCCTCAGACATTTGTGATGCATTCTCACAGATCACCCGACAAAAGGACTTGCCACTGGGGCTTTGAATCAGCCAAATGGCATTGCTATCTTCACGTGAACCAAAAATACTTAGGGACACCTGAAGAAAAGAAACTGAAGGTAATTTTAGAAGAAATGAAGGAGAAATTTAGCATGAGAAATGGGAAGAGGAGTCAATCCAAGGCAAGTTTTTTTTTCTTAATAGCAATTTTGAATAACGGTAATGGTTTACTTTGAAATTAAAAGTCTATTTAGAATATAACTGTTAAACTATTACTGCTCATGCAACAACAGGAAAAACTCATCTAAATAATATGTTTGTATTACACGTTTTAGGCTATAAAGTGCTTTCCTGTATGTGTTCTCATTTGATCTTCCAAACAACCTACTGAGAGAAGTGGGATTATTCCCATTTTACAGATAAAGAGAATGAGGCTCAGAGAGATCAAGTGGCTTTCCCAAGATTATATAGCCAGGGAGTGGAGGATCTGGGGCTTCTTTTTCAAGCCATGTCCTTGTTTTCACACATCTTGCTTTTTGATGACTAAATCAGTTGTTTTCCTAGGACTCAAGATAATTTACACTTTGGTGTTATCTCTATTTGCAAATGATATAATAGGTAGCCCATACAACTCTGGTGGTGGGCTCCAAACAGCGTTTTTTCAAAGGTGTATTTAGGATTTCTGACATTGTTTCTGTAATTGAATATTCAGACTTGATCAGTACTGGAGACAAATGCAAATGACAGATTTATCTGAAAATTTCTTGATTCTAGTCACCAAGAATTTTTTTTAAAGAGAGGAATAATTAAAAAAATTATGGCAGCTAGAATAAAGATGATTTTATTTTTTAAATTAAAAAAAATTATTTTATTTATTTATTTTTGGCTGCATTGGGTCTTCATTGCTGCACTCAGGCTTTCTCTAGTTGCAGCGAGCGGAGGCTACTCTTCCTTGCGGTGCACAGGCTTATCATTGCAGTTGATTCTCTTGTTGCAGAGTGCGGGCTCTAGGTGCCCGGACTTCAGTAGTTGTGGTGCGTGGGCTCAGTAGTTGCGGTTCATGGGCTCTAGAGCGCAGGCTCAGTAGTTGTGGCTCACGGGCTTAGCTGCTCGGCGGCATGTAGGATCTTCCCGGACCAGGGCTTGAATCTGTATCCCTGCATTGGCAGGCGGATTCTTAACCACTGCACCACCAGGGAAGCCCAACATTATTTTAGATTAAATAAACATTAATATAAAAACGTCTCAGCAAAGAGATTTTAAACTTATTTTCCCACTGCATTATCTGGTAGGCTACACTAGTTCATTCTAAGAGTTTGAATGGCTGGCTAATAGATAAGATTTAGGCTATTAAATATTCAGTTTGTTGATCTGGTTTTTAAATATTCGCCTACTCGATTAAAATCAGTATAATAGCTAACACTAAGTGTTTAAAATGTGGCAAGCATTGCTTTTGAACAGTTTTACACGTACAATTTTATTTGATTGGTACCACAAAAGATTGGCCGTGTTTCATCTTAAGAATCTAATATTTCCACTATTAATTAGTTTTTATTCCTTGAAATATCTCTGCCCTTTCTGCTTCACAGAAGTATTAAATGACTGAAGTTTATTTACAGCAAGATTAGAGCTTGGGCAAGAAACTTAAGGTTTCATGGCCTGTGCTTTAAACCTTTCAGGTTTTGAGGGAAATTTAGTTACAGTGTAGTTTTAAGACAGTGATTTGCTTCAGAAGCCCAATGAAGATAATTTCAGACTTGAATTCAGGGTAGTTTGCTACTTGCTGATTCCAAACCGGTCAGTACTTCTTGGAAATTCCTTGCCTGTGGCTACTAGGTAAGTTTATATTGTTTAACTGATTTTAAAGCAGAATTGACTTCAAGCCAGTTCTCACATTGTTGGACACGCTTACAGCTGGCTTGGTCCCACGCTGAAAATAGTGTTTAGAATTGTCTGTATTCTCAAAATGTGGAATGCCCCTTTTGACATTTATGATATCTTGCCCTAATGTAACTAGGACTCTCACATGTCCATAGGTGGCCACATTATTTGCCAGATATTCTTGGTCCAATCTTGGTTGCTCTGACGTAAGCATTTTGGGGATAAATTACTTTGCCTAATATTCCTGCTCTGTGTTTGTGAGAAAAAATATCTGAGAACCATGATAAAGGTTAAAAAAAAAAAGGTGATGAATTTACTTAACTGAAACTGAATGTGCTAGGGTTTGGTTAAAATTGAAACTGTCCTTCATCAGGATGTAGTCATTTATTGTCTCAGAATTTATTAATTTGAATTCAGTTTTTATTTGGGGAAGCCGTGAGATTTTTTTTCCCCATATTTTTACTATGTTATGTTTTGCAGTATTTGCCAGTGTTTCTGGTGTGTTCTGTTATTTTTTCCAATTTTATGTGAATTTTAAGCAATTTAAGGGAATTTGAAAATTTCCAGTAATCAAACCTTTAAGAAAGAAGTGTTTGGGGAGTTCATGTGTAGTAATACATGCTTGCCACTTCACATTTTGAAAATTTACTCCTCAAAACTTGGCGAAGTAGTTCTCTTTTGAAGTTGAGATGAGAAACCGGTGGGTTCAGATGGGTCACATGCTTCTGGTTGTATAACTGGTAAGTGGTAGAATCAGGAGTTGAATGCAGTTCTTCTGACTTCAAGTCTAGTAATTTTCACTACTTTTCCCAGAAGCAAACTCAGTAGCAGAAACTGAATTTTGAGAAACATTAACTTTTCTTATCAACTTACCTTAGTATAATGGTTCCTAAGCTCTCTGTTAACTTGTATGTAGACTAAGGTATTTTACTGGGAAGGGGTCACGGAGATAGTCCTTGGCTGGGGAACATTTTTCATTATCTTCTGTGAGTCAACTGAATTGGTTGCCCAACAAACCAAATACATCCAGAGGAAGCTCATTTAAAAAAGTCAAAACAGGATTTTTTTAAAAAAATTAAAGCATATGCTAAATATATTAACCTCTTATCTAAAGGTCCTTATGTTTAGTGTGAACACTGATGTAATTGGGTATGTTTAGTTAATGTAGTCAGAGTAGGTTTTTGAATTTTAAAAATCCCCTCAAACTCAGTAGGCAATTGTTTGAAATGTAGCAACTGTTGAATTATTTCTAAGGATGGAAATTATATTAGTGATGGTCACCAAACTATTTGCATAACTAAAAACTATATTTACTTTGCATAGTTAGGAGCTATATTTAGATGGGAGAAATAAGTGGTAGAAGGTCAGTGTTCTAAGTGAAGAGCTGACTATTCTTTGCAGACACCAGAGGTATAGTATTTTGAACTCTTTCTCACTCAGGTCACCACAAGAAATAATACTTGATTTTTAGATTTGCCTAGGTTGCTTTGCAAAATGGTGTTATCAAAACTGTCTCTTCATATCATTTGAGTTTTTTATGTTTTTATTAGAAAAATGATTATTGTATTTTATAGTGCACAAACATATGGAAGAATATCATATTCTTGATTCTTTTCCATATCTCCAGTGGGTATTGTTTATTTGATCTAATTCTGATTTTGTTGAATCTTAGTTTCTATCTGTGGAAAAAAGGTTTGCCAAGCAAACTGATCATTTGTAAGTAAAATTTGAAGGGTGATGTTTCCTTGAGATTATTTTCAAGCACATTAGAAAAACCTATTTGTAGTCAACTGATAAGATCATTATAGGTGATTCTTTGCTGTTACAGCATGTGGCTGACATTCTCCAGTTCACTAAGTAAAGATGGTTTATGCCTTTATAAATTTTTAGGGGTTAAAATTTAGATTTCTAACATTTAGACTTGAGTACTGTTAGGTAAGTAAAATAATACAGTTCTTACTTTGCTTAGGGAAAAAATCCTATGGATTATCTGTGATGCAATAGATTACCTAAAGATATCAACTTAAAAGTTTTCCTCTTAAAGCCTATTAATTAAACATTTCACTTTTTTTAGTTTTGCATTTTTCTTACAGTTCATTTCTGCGAGGTCATTGGCAATAATGATAATCCTCCAAAAAATTTCTCCCCTCTTGTAAGCTATTATACTTCTGTTTAGGAAGTGTGTTTCTTAGTACCAACCTAAGTGAGGTAAAGAAATACACTAGAGAGGATGGGTAACTTGCAGAGTAGTGTTGGGACAAAATGTGTACCAGTAATAATTGTGATAGATTTGATGGTAATTTGTTACATCAGAGGCAGAGTTTGCATTTTATGATTAGCATAAATTTTTATTAAGTGGCTATAAGGTCAGAATCAAATGAAGTATTTGTGCTCATATAAGGGACGAGTATGAATATTTTTTTCTAACTTTATAAAATTAACAACTGTCTTAATGAGTTTTGAGACGATCTTTTTCCTGGTTTCCCAGAATTTAGTTTACTGCTTGGCAGGTCAAAGTTACTCAGTGAAAAAGAAAAAATTTTTTAAACTGAATAAATTTTGGGGAGACAATGCTCCATTGTATTTTAGAATATTGGGGATTTTTTTGGAAAAATTATGGTTTAACCCTTAATAAACTTATATAATTTGCAAATAAACTGTTGAATAAGACAACTGGTCAAATGAGAGAATGGATTTAAAAGTACTTTGGAAGTTGAGTCTAGAAATATCAGATGGTACTTCAAACTATTATTGAAATATTTACTAATATGTATTTCGGGATTTTTCCTTTCCCCAAACATTTTCTTGATTTATCTAGAATTATCTGAAGATATTTCAAAGTAAGATAACTGAGTGTTGGGCTCAGCTGTATCTCACTTTTAGTTGTTTGTACACAGTAATTATACTAGTTGGATATTTGTTTATTTATCAGAATGAAGTATGCAAGAAGAAAGTACAAAACACGTTTGTTATAAAATATAAGAAGGAAATTTCAGTGAAAACACATTTGTTATAAAAAATAAGGAAATTTCAGTGAAATCTTTAGAATGGCTTTGGGAATAGTGCCCCCTTATGGTTTAGGAAATATAGAGTCTATATTCATTTTATCATTAAAAAATTTTAATTTTTTAAACATTTTAAAATGTTAATATTTTAAAAAAGGCTTCTGATAAAACGCTTTATCCTTTTGGTCTGAGAAATGGGAAAAAATTAAGAAACTTCAAGGAAGAAAAGAAAAAGGATAGGCCTGAATCGGTACATAGTTAGCCAGTAGTGTTCTCATACCTATGCATATGTTATA